AATTTAAGAAATTAATAGTTAAGGTAAGCGTATTTTAATATGAGGAGAAAATGCAGTTCCGTAGTTGACCCCATGAGGTGTATACTTAGGGGGGCCTCTTCTTACTTCCTTGCTATTGGGTTGATTATCATTATTTATATGTATTTTTAGCAGGATATCATAAGCTCCACCTGCTAATTCTCATGGTTGCTGCTCATCGCTCTGGCCGCTTCTCCGATGGTGTGCTTCTCCGATGCGACCCTCCTCCTTTTGGCATCTTTTTGGCATTCTATACCCAATAGAATTATTCTCTATCCGAATTCGATGAGTGAAATAGTAACTTTCTCCTCACCTTCCAGTCATACCTCTTTTGCCTTTGACTGATAATGACTATTATTCATTATCATTTATTTTATATACCGTATTTTGCGGTCCATAAGACGCACCGGACCATAGGACGCAGGGAGGTCCGGCGCGCCTTATGGAGCACTCGAGACTGTAGCTTCTGTGACAACTTCTATGACAGAAGCTGTGACAGAAGCTGCAGTTAGTGACTGCTGAGACAGGTGGCGCTGTGATTACAGCGCCACGGTCTCAGTGATGACACAGAGCAGGCGAAGAACGTCTATTCTTCGTCTGCTCTATGGTTATCTCGATCGTCGCCGCTGCTCGGTTTTAATACGAGTGATCTCGTATTAGGGATCGATACCAAGGACATAAATGATGCCAAGGACATAAATGATGCTTATACTGTAGGATGAAATGCAGTCCCCTAAGTTTATCACATGTAGGTCTTTACTTCCTTTCTTGGATATACACTGTATATATATTTCGTCTTTTTCCCCTTAAGAAGCCCCTACGGGCGAAACATGTTGGGATATACAAGAGCATATATACAACTCTGAACAACAACTATGTGATTCAGACTCGTACGGTATCATTACCATGTGGTGAATGTACCAGCATATGTCTTTTATACAAATCTTATAAATGTCAAAATGATGTACTAAATAAATGTTTTTTCTACATTTTTATTGCCGAGGTCTGGAAACGTTTCTTTAAAGCCCCCTTCTCTCTTTTCCTATGGGCATTTGCACATCCCATTGTGAAAATACTTCTTTCTTTTTTGTTGTATTACATATTGGGGTGTGAAACTTCCAGTCCCTCTATGTTTCTACTTGCAACACATGCCCACCAATGTTAAAAGTTTACATAAAAACATAGACTTCTTACAGCCATTAAAGGTAATTAATACACATAACCTTGCAAAGGCATCATTAGCCAGTCCTCTGAATTTCAACATGACATCACAGTTGTCACCAATATAGAGACAGCCTATATCATCAATACCACCTAGTACTCATGAGGATGTTGAGTGTTGTTCTGTGATGTACTCATTAGAATGTTAATGTGTGGATATGCTCACCGCTACTTATTATTAAATATTGCCTTGTGTTGCTTTGTAAAATTAAGCTTTTTTAAGTGCACTACATCTGAAGCTGCTAATGTTCCAATAAACAAAAGAATAATTGTGCGCTCTTTTCCTGCTGGGGGGGGGGGAGATGTAATATTACAAATAATCCACTTTTCACCGCTTTGAGGCTAAATGAATGCTAATTATAAGGCTGCTAAACTGCTTCATAATTAATTAGACAAAACATGACAATTTGCATTGAAAGGTTCTCTAATCCATTTTTTTCTGCCTTGGGTATATATGTTCTGATCATAACTGTTGTTTTTTAAGCAATTAAATCCAATAAATATGATGAGTCCTTTGAATGAACAGCCCTAGGCAAATTAACATCAGAGGGAAAAGTGTGCAGATGAAAGGGAGTTACTGGCAAATGGCCAGGGACAGACATGGATACCAACCCGGCACTGTGAGTGGGTGTCTAAAGTGCACTCCATGTGAGCAGTTCTGAACTAATTACTATGTATATAAAATGCATATTAACTGTATTTATATTTCTGAAAGGTAAATCCACCAAAAACTGAAAAGGATTATATTGATATATTTCACCCCATATAACCGTTATCATGTTAATGTCATTTCAAAAGGTGTTTTCTGTCTTTTTAATTCTGCAGCTTCAACTACAATAATGCTGCCATAAAGGTCCTTGCTCAGGGACTTACTGTTACGGGAAGACAACTGTCTCCCAATTGTGATCCTGTGTTGCCACCATGTCACAAGCACCCCTGTTGGAGACTATGAGCCGTGATGACACATAGATTGCAAAGGCATAGTCCACTGATGTCACTATCAGGGAGCCAGCCCAGAGCAATGATGTGCTGCAAATGTGGGATCAAATGCATGTAGGCAGAGACTGGGTGACAGAGGCAATTGTTCAGGTTACACAGTGTTTAATTAAATAAAATATTATCCAGTTAGGGTTTGGATCTGTTTTAACTAAGTGAATAGAATAAAATATAAGAATTGGGAGAATTACTACTTTGATCCTCACAGAATGTAAATTGAGAACACATTTGGTAAACAATATGGAACATATTCATTATGCTAGGGTCCCCTGAACTCATGGACCATGAAGTAGCCTCTGTAGTTATGTTCTGGATATATAAAATTATACTGTTTAGGGTTGATATAGTAAATGAACAAAAGATGTTCACTTTCTAAAGTGAACATTCACTTAGCTTAGTGAATGTTCACTTAAAAGTGAACAAGGTGAAGATAAGTTCACTTCAATCATCCAATCATGTGCAATTAAAAACCATTGTTTTAACTTCCCTTAAAACAACTGGGTATTGAAGTTGAACACAACTTTGCCTTATTAACTAAGCCAAGTAAATATACACTTGCTAAGTGACTAGCCTCTACTTCTTTAAAAAATCCACCCTTTTGAGTTTTACATTGAATTTAGCAACTTCAGAATTTGAAATAATAAAGCAATATTCAGGGACAGGGTTATCTCAGACTATAGAACGGGAAGGTCTAGATTTTCCAGGCAAGGAAAAAAAAAAGCTTGTGGGAACACACTCAGCTTTATGGGGTCAATGCCATGGATCATAATGATGTTAAGCCTTTGGTGATGAGATATAGGCAGGAAGCAGGAGCAGAGAAGCAGGGGAGATGGTGACTCACAGCTGTTCTGAAGCATCTTCTCCAGAGAATCTTTCCATTGCAAGGCCTCATCAGTTGATGGTCTGATGAAAGAAAAAAACAGGAATTAGCGTCATCAAACAGATTCTGGAATGAAGTAGTACTCATTTCCTTAATACTATCTGAGCACTTAACCCTCACAGTGTGGGAGTAGCCCCACTGTAAGGGTTAATAAAACATTTCCTGGAGCTCTTCTTTAAAATGCCCTCTGAACCTTCAGGATGCATTCAGATGTACATGGCTTCCTAAGGACATGTTCCTGTTTACAGGCTTTGTGTTGTCCTAAGCACGGAATTCTTCTTTAAAGAGCAATCTACATGTGCCTTAAGAACTGCTGCGCTATTAAGGTGCTTATAGAGTAATTTACCACGTTTACACTGCCACTAAGCTCAAGTGGCAGTATTCTGGTTAATGACATTGCAAGAAACGTAAATGGAACTGCAAAAAAAAAAAAGTTATATCTGTTAACACAGACACAGCTCAGACGGTATTCGTCTGGTATCATTTTAGGGATATTTTTTGTAATCATGAACACATGCTGCTGTATGTCATCGCACAGATAATTAGTAAAGCTGTCCATGAACACTTTTGCTTTGCTGACCCCTAGATACAGATAAAATACTTCCAGCTAAAAGACCATATAAAATATGTCTAGAGTTCAGGAAAACCTCAGTGAATTTAGACACCTAAGCCCGACACAGCATCGCTACAGTAAAATGTGAGACTTTCCATTTGGGAGTTTGTAAACGCGGACAAAGGCTGCCGCATCCAATAAAATTTTAATGACAAGAAAGAATTGATCTGTACCCTAATCTGCTGTGCACTCCTACAATGGGCTATAGATCTATGCTGTCTATTTATAGCTGCTTAAAGCATAATTACAAAAGCTTGGGAGCATGTATGTGTTCAAGGCAGTATAAGCAGCTGAGGGAACATACACATTTCAAAGGAGTCACCTGAGAGTAGCACTGTAGAGACATATGTCTAAAATGTGTCTCTTTCTGCCCCTTACTGAATACTTTGTAGCCCTCCAAATAAATAAAGGAAACTTGTACTAGATAACTATAGAGGTTGTCATTGCAGACCTCTCTTTCTGAATCTGCTAGCTGCCTGGCTATCATGCTGACCGAAATGTTTTAGGGTTTGTTCATACCACTTCCAGTGTGTTCCAGCACAATTAGCTGCTGGAACGCACTGGATCGCATCCTGGCCGGCTCTCTGCGTTCTGGGGCGGGATGGAGCATGGCGGTGCATTCAAGTCAATGGCACCACAGCCACGTCCCCTGCCTGCAGTGCAATCGCCTGCACCAGAACGCGTGGCACATCAATGCCTGCGTTTCGGTCCATTGCGAATGCAAAAAAGTGCATTCTGCACTATCGCCCCACAACTCAGGGAGCCGGCTAATCGTGCTTGAACACACTGGAAGTTGTGTAAACAAGCCCTTAAAGTGTATGTATTAGCCAATTTTTATTTTGGAAAGAGTAGGGATAGGGAAGGGTTAGAACCTTAGTCAGGTTTTATGCAGTTTATGTCACCACCAGGTAGGTTTGCTCTCTCTATTGCCCCTGGTGACCATTGTAAAAATCTAAAATGTTACCGCTGTAACTAGAACAGAGAAGAATTCCCCTAACTTCGCAGAGATTTCCTCTAACTTCCTATTGGGATTTCAAAGCAGGTAGTAAAGTGAAATCTCAAAAAGTGAAAATGGACAGAAAAATTAAAACAAAACTGAGAAAGGTCGTAACCCTTCCCTACTCCACCCAAAACTAAAGGGAGTTATTCACAAAGCTGCCAAGGGCAGCCGTGTGAATAACCGACCCGTAGTGAAGCGAGCCGGTCGCTGTTTGGCTATTCACTTCAGGCTTGTACGGCTGATTTCAGCCGTACACCGACTGAAATCAGCCGTACATCGGCTTGCTGCGGCTGGGTTCGGGTCGGCCGAACATGCTCAGCATGCAGAAGTGCAGAAAGAGTTCGACTCAGCTGATCCAACATTTGGATCGGCTAAGCCGAACATCCGGCATGGCTACTCGCTGCTGTTCGGCCTATTCTCATAGAGGCCGAACAGCAGTGAGTGAATAGCCGAATGCCGCTGAGCGGCATTAGGCTCGGCTATCCTGCTCTTTACCTCTGTGGTACTGAGCAGAATAGAAAAACTGTCAAAAAAAGTAGAAAAAAAAGTAGAAAACGATTGGGCGGAGCTAAAAGTGACATCTAGCTCCTCCCAACTGTTTTCTATAGGCCGGGGACCAGCTGTCATTACAATGAGAGCTTGTCGGAGTTGGCTGTGATATCAAAGGCGGCTCCCCTAAGCTCTTATTGTAATGACAGATCAGCGTCCCTGGTTACCCAGTAATCATTCAATAATATATGCTGACTGCAAACAAACGATCGACTTTTCATCTGTCATGCCTGGGCGCCTCTGCTTCATTCTCCTTTTTGGGGCTTTTCTGCTTTTTTCAGCCCAGAACTATCCGAGTTACACCCCTGATGAGCATCCACCTGCACGGGGACAGAAGTATTCCCATTAAGCCTTCTCAAACAGGTTGCTCAATTTCCCTATGGGATCTCCTGCAACCTTTCTTTATGTGAGTATCATAAACCTGAACCTTCCTGACACATCTCCAATATATTTCAGAAACACTCCATTTAAACGTTTCTCTTGCCTCCATTGTTTGGAGTCTTCCTCTTTGTGAATTTTAGTTAAAACTGTTTATAATTCCTTCATTCAATCAGTTTTCTTTTTAAGTGTCATCTTACTTACTAAGATAAGTGAGCATTCTCTATTCCTATAGTAATTCAACCCTCTTGAGTCACTAAATTGTAACAAGTAAGCAGAGTAGTTCCAACTTCTGACTTTCTTGACATGCATTCCTTTTCTAGGTTAGTACTCAGAAAGTATTGAAGCTAGAAACAAGACATTTCTACAACTAATATTTTCTCAAAAGCGGTCAACAACGAAGTCCCCATAATTCTCTCAGTGCAGGTTTCCTTTAAACTGGAGAAGAAGTAAACTGTAAATAACTGGTTTGTGAGGAACATCGGGATCCTAGTTCTCTGATTTATCTTAAAATAGCACTAAAAGTAATTTACACTGTACATGTTGGGCCTCCTTCCTTTGCAATTGTCTCTAATGACAAGTGACTCTTTTGCCTCAGGTCTGATCCCTTCAGTAGGAAAGCAGCAGAAAATTAGATGTTCTGCAGGATATTCTACAGTCGTCCAATAATTGCTCCACAATTGGATTATGGAGGTATGAGAGTCACAATATTCAATATAGCTGTATCATTTAGCAAGGTGATTAGAGTAATGAGAGAAACACAGACATTATTTATACAGAGCACCAGCTGACTGCCACCAGGAACGAGGATGTAGCATGAGCAAAGAAAACACAGACTTATACAACATAATACACGTGAAAAGGGGAAGAATATCTTCTCTATATTTTTATAGCTTTTTTTACATCATTTTTTAAATATCTGTGATCCATGTACCTGGGGATATTTATATTATCCACTGTCTGTCTGTTATGTAGCCTCGATGGCTTGGATATATATATATATATATATAATTATAGATTAGTAAAGTGATGCACACTTACATCAGATTGGAGCCTATTCATTGAGGAAGTGCAAAGAGCAATCATGCAAAAGCAAAGAGTTCAGAGTCCAGTCTGTAGCAAGTATCTGGAAATCATCATAACTGATGTTGGTGCATTAGCCTTATAATGTGATTTTTTTTCATGGGTTGTAGCACCTTTCACATTATAACTGATGTTTGCATAGCATTGTCTTACTATATATCCTTTTCCTTTATACTGGCTTTTTTAAATAACAAGTGCAATAACTGAAATGCTGGATGAAAGGTCTAATGTAGAATCACATTTTGTAAATTTTTATTTTAAATAATTTTATTACATGTATAATATCTTTATTTTGCAAATGCTTATTCAATACAATGTGCTACCATTTTGTTTCCAATTAAGAATTGCTCTAGGTCTTGCTCTGCATTCTTTGAGCACTTCTTACCAACTAAAAAAGCCATAGGGCTCAGCATGAGCAGACAGAGGAAGGGGGAATCCCTCCTATGGCCCATTGGTTTTCTGTGTTGTGTGAGTGCAACTAAATAGCGCTAAGGATCAATAAAAAGCTAAGGATCACATTGTATCAGACCTTTCAGTATTTTTACAACACACCAGTATAACTCTGCAAATCTTAAATGTAAAGCATGAGTTTTCAATATGGATACTGCTGCATTTAGATCCTTGGGAGCAAGCTGTGTCTTGATCTTTTGCGAGATACTGGACCTGCATCATCTCCTAGAACACTGTTGTTGCAATGACATGGGCTGTCCACCAGTATGGTTGACCATGTGGTGCTCTCTTTCATTAGCTATCCTGTCTTCCTGGCTCTCTTCTTACTTCCTTTTCTTTTCCCCTCCACTTTCTAACTGCTTTCTCTATACTTTCTCTTTTCTACTTCATGTAGATTTTGTCTTTCTATGAGTTTTTACCCCTTCCTGGTTTGGGGCTCCTTTGGGACCTAACAATGGTGTTATAACTGATCCCATAGCTTCTGAAACCTCGGTCGCTGCTTTGGTCTGTGTCTGGGCCTAGATATTTCTCAGAGGGGTCAATTACTATACGTCTCTTCTCATTGTCCTCCCTAATTTGTCTTGTTAATTATTTTGTACTGTTACATTTTAAATACCTAATAAACGTCTAATATTTCTAAAAGATATAAGGGCTTGTTCACACCAAATGCAGACCAGATCTGCATGAGTTTTTGCACACGCAGTACAGTGTGTTATATCGCATTTTTTGTCACATTTTTGAGGCGTTCCGGCCCGTTTTTGGTTTTAAAAAAAGGGCTTTCAGTGTGTTCCAGGGCGTTTGCATGCATTTTTGATCCATTTGCATGCGTTCCAGAGCAGGTAAAATAGGGCTTTCTGCAGTTTTTTTACAAGCTCTGGAACTGAACGCTGCGGTGTGAACTAGAGCCCAAAATACCATTGGAATACATTGGACGCAGTTTTGATCCGGTCTGCTGTAACTGCTCTGCTCTGCTCTTGGAACGCGCTTGGTGTGAACTAGCCCTAGAGTATGAGATCTGTGTAGTTCCTATGGCCAACATATCTACTTTTGTTCCTGCATTGACAAATGCTTGGGACTATGTTCCTTTAGAAACTGACAGCTTCTCAAATGTTCTATTTACCAATTCCCATAAAAACACCTACTTGGGGGCCTTGATTTGCTTCTCAGGCTTTTCAGGGTAATTGATAATCAGGTCGATGGCAGTGTCCGGCTTCTGGAGAAGGGTACCAAGTTTGGTCTTTATCTCCTTGGCTCTAAAGGAAAAAAAAACACAAACATTCAGAATATTGAATTAAGCAGATATTACACATATCTAATTTTTCTTTTTCTTTAAGGAAAACTCCACTTTCATTTCAAAACATTGATGTAAACATTGATGTAAAAAATACTTTTCCCTTTTTATCTGCAGCCAGCAATCATTTTATAAAAGTTGCAAAAACTAAAACCATGGCAAATGGAACACAGAGCTACCCAGAATAGCTGGTAATCTGACTGGCTTGTTATTTATATTAGTTGTCTGTACAGAGCTTAATATCAAATTATAGGTATCCCCTGCAATCAGAGTATCATCGTTAATGAGATATTTTGTAGAAGTCTTGCTTAAAAGGATGCTCAAACCACAGCTTTCCTTATTCCAACATTGATGTAACAATATGCATTTCATTATTGTAAAGAAAGACCCTCCCAACTGTCCTTTTAAGAAAGGCCAATAGCAAAACCTATATTAATGCATAGTTCAGTTAGAGGCATTTTTTTTCTCAAAACAAAACTGGCTTTTCAATGTATTGATGCATATAGGTCAAACATTAATTCTCCATTTACATTAAATCAAGGGGCAGATCTAACCTGGGATCTTTTTACCCTGCTTTCTGCATAATTAACTGGTCCCCTGAGTTCTGGCCCTGATATCCTGTTTTAGGGTCCTATGGAGCTGGTTGTGGCGGAGGGTACTGAGGGCAGAGGAGGGAAAGGCTACTTCTGCTGTCAGTCAAGTTTTTAGGAGGAGAGTGATGGAGAGAGCAGGGGCATGGCTTGCCGCATGCTAGGCATGGGTCAAAGCCAGGAATGCGCATGCATGGTTGTCTCCTCAGCAACCAGCTAGCTGAAGGAGACACCCACAAACAGGCAGGAGTGGTAGCAGTTTGGGGGCCAGCTAGAGCAGCGTTGCTTGACCTTTTCTTAGTTGCAGCACTCTTTAAAAGTATGCAAAATCTTGAGGCAACCTAATCTAAAATGTAAAAACACGTAAACTTAAAAATGGAAGAAATTAAGTCTAATTTCCCCCAAAATCTATAACATAACTTTTGCTTAGATAGAGGTTTGGTATGAATTTGCAAATACTCACACTTGAAAAGCCTGGTAATGTAACAAATTCAGCGGAGAATTACTCTTTGGTTTGGTCCAAGGGTTTTAAAGTATTTATTGGAAAATAAGGTGGCGAGAACAAAAAAAAGAGTTTTTGTTCCTTACAAGTGTAGACAAGCATCGAGCTATCCTCACTAGATCAATACAGTCAGAGAGCAGTGACCGGGCTGGCGCATTTTTATTTGGAAGGAAGCAGAGCTTTTACTTGGGAAGCCAGCATGCAGTTAATAAATTGAGGACACACAGTAATATATATGTCACCCAGCCTGTTTAACTGATGCTTATATTTTCAGCATACTTTCGTTTTTTCTGTAGTTGTTTGATTTATTTCTTGTGAACTTTGCTCGGCGTGTACATTTTCTCCTTAGTGTAAATACCGAGTTGGTCACTATGGCAACAGAGAAAGTAGCAGGAGACAGAAACAGCCTTTTCCATGATGTTCTGATGAGCCTTCCATAATAAAGTATTGTCTAACAATACGCTCGATCTGCAGTGGTTACTATAATATCCGTACGTGATGAATTACCTTAGGGGATTGTTGATCACATACATTTTTTCCTTGTGCATCTCACTTTCAATTAAACAAATTGGAAGAATGAGGTTTGTTTTACAAACAGATTTTACATTTTTTACAGTAGGTGACGGTTTGGTAAATTACATGACGCATTCGCCTGCTTGCTTCTCTGAGTTTTCCATGTGATCTCATTGGATGTCAGCAGAGACTTGTTCACTGCTACTAATGTCTAGTGAAGTAGTGTAGGACCCCTAAAAACCATGGGCAACAATGCTTAATTGAATGAAAGAACTTATGGAAGTTTGCATTCTTTGTAAACAATAAATAAATGAATAAAAAGATTACAGCGCATGCTTTGCAGCACGGCACATAATGCATAGAAAGAATGCATGCTGGTGCATGCAAATTATACATTCACTAATGTGTGTTCTGTGGTGTATATGGGCCCTCAGTTTTCCATCTGATGTCAACAGATACTTGTGTTACTGATTTCCTCTGACCCGCAGTGCTGCGAGGGAACATGGAGCCGGCGGGTCGCAGCCCGGCTTCCTGATTGGCTGGGAAGCCGGCTCCATGCTCTCTGGCTGCCTCAAAGCTGATTGGCTGGGAAGCCTGCTTCCCAGCCAATCACCATTTAGCCGGCCAAACAGTGGCCGGCGGCCACTGTGAAAATACCCAAGCAGAGGCGGCAGCTCATTGGCTGTCCATTCTATTTGCTCAAGGATTTTCCAACCTGCTCCTTCAATCAGCTGATCGAGGGATGCCAGCCGAAAGAGTGCTGACAGCGGCAACCACTGTGTGAAAATTCACACAGTGTATGGCCAGCTTAAGATGGGAAGGATTAACACATTATAGCATAAAGTATATAGACAAAGGTCACATCCCTGCCACACCTCCAGTAAGGTGGACCATGAGGATTAATGTGTGTTGGTTTAACCCAAAATCTTTTTTTTCATCATATTTTCTTTATTTTGGCTTTTTTAAATAACCAATACAATAATTTAAAGGTTGCATAAAATGTTTAGTACTCTACAACACTTTAGATAGTTAAATGATACATTTTACAGAGCTGTATGCATATCAGGCCAAAAACGTGGACAACTAAGGAGGAAAGTGTGACATAGGGATTTGGTCCCAATAGAGGAACCGCCCCTCCAAATCAGGGACATTTGGGAGCTATGCCTTTACTCTCATAAGATGAGGGATTTGGTTCCAAAAGAGGAATTGTCCCTCCAAATCAGGGATATTTGGGAGCTATGCCTTTACTCTCAGAGGATGAGGGATTTGGTTCCAAAAGAGGAATTGTCCCTCCAAATCAGGGATATTTGGGAGCTATGCCTTTACTCTCAGAGGATGAGGGATTTGGTTCCAAAAGAGGAACCATTACTCCAAATCAGGGATATTTGGTTGACATTCCTTAACAATCAGAGGATGAGGGATTTGGTTCCAAAAGAGGAGCCCCCCCAAATCAGGGACATTGGGAAGCTTTGCCTTTACTTTCAGAGGATGAAGTTGAATTGCACTTACCAACCTATAGTTTTTGCAGTGTTTAGAAGAGACGTTATGCACACTCTATTGCTATTAACAATCCTATTAGTTGTAGGCTCTGATTGATGGAGTTGACACTGAAGCTCTCCATTTGGGAGTGGGTACATTCTATTGTTGTAAGTTCCCTTACATCTGCTGTGTGTGAATGGATCCAGCTAAAGTATGACAACTCCAGGTTGTGATAAAAAAATCTGCGCTCTTGGAAAAATAAGGATAAGATATTTAAATGCTAATCCTAAATCTGCTATGAAGATGGTGTATGTTTCATCACCTGACGTCTTCTAAAGGTCAACAGATCTGTTGACCTTTAGAAGACGTCAGATGACGAAACGCGTCAAGGGGTAGATCTTTTCACTGTATAGGAAGTACTATGCTAGTGGCTTCCATTTGAGAGCTTTTATCTTTTTCTTTTTCTGTTTGGCCGGCCGATACTTTGAAACTTTGATGTAAGTTGCTACTTTTTAAATAAATATTTACTGTTGGATGTACCGCACCATGAGGGTTGTTTTTTTCTCTCCTATAACCCTTATAAAACACTGATCGGGGCCGTAAAAAAACGCTGTCGCTCACGGATGAGAGAAGCCGGCATCTGCTTTCAACAAAGAGCCGGGACCTCTAGGGGACTGCAGGGGAGAAGTGCCTGCTAGTGTTCGATCTGCTGTCGGGGGAATTTGAGTGAATCGGAACGGGGAGATTAGAAGCCCTTCCCTTCTGAGTGATTATATTATATATACTCACCAACTCTGGTGAGTACCGATTACCTGGGGGGACGGCTAAATGGAGGATCGGATTTAAAAGAACTTTGCTTTTCGTTTACTCATCACAATTTGCTACTTTCTGATTTATTCATCACTTGGTTACCATATTCACCTTTATTGTATATTCAAGTTGATTTTTCATCTTGCAACTATTTGCTATTTCTCATCACGGATTGGGATTTTGGAGGAAATATTTGCATGTAATCTATACACCACTGTTTTTTACCAGAATAATTTTATTTTAATTATTTAATGACTCGCAGTTTCACTTACTAACGAGATAATTTAATGGTTTGAAGTTTTTTGAGTAATTTAGATTTTTCGCTATTTCTTATATCGTGTCACTGTCACATTGTATCTACTTAGGAGCTTTTGCTCAGATTGTTATGTATTAACATTAACTAGTTTTTTATACACTTTGTGCCACAATGGATCACTTAAAATATTAGGTGTTTTATAGGTCTTTTTGAAAAATTTTCACTGGGATATAACCCACTTATTTATATTTTTTCACAATAAGGTTATTTTTGTTTTATTATTTGAACTACATTTATTTCTTTATGGAAGCATTTATTTATATTTAACCCATAGCGCTGTGTTAGCACTTATACAAAGTCTGACAACTGTCTTGTTTGAAGCAACAGAAACAGAAGTATTAAGTTATTGTCAAAGCAGGAAGTTTTGCTAATGAGCACATTTTATTAATCCAGTTTACAGCTGTAGTTCAGGTTTACTCCAGCTGTCTTAATTGAGAAGAACACTATATACCAGAAACTGTCCTGTGTTCTTTTACTCAATTAAATTGCTTGTACATGTCATTTTTCTGGCTTCCTCTACATTTCTGTCAGGCTAGACATTAATAGCTTCCATAAGTGTGTTATTTTTGGGCCTCGAATTTTTGCAAAATTGGCCAATTCCAGAAGAGCAACAGAACATTCTTCAGCATAATATTTAGCTATAATCTGTGGCACCTGGTTATGTGAAAGGAATGTCTTTAGGTCTTGTCTTACAATTTGCATAATTCCCCTTTAATGTAAACTGCACCTTATTCATAACCTTGGTGTACAAA